TATTTTTATATATAGAGATAACCCTATATTACTCCTGTTATGGTTTATATTCCTCACCTTCTGGTATGATAAAGGGAGCATTAAAATTAACAACTCCATAAGTTATGAATAACACCATTTATCATTATTACTTTTCAAAATGCCATCAGCCATGCTGGTCAATTTTACAGCAGCCTCTCATTTATGTCAATAATAGAATGTTCACTTTGTCTGGTTTTGTTGCAGTCTGCCCCATATAATTGTTCAGTCTTCTATTAGTGTTCTTTTTAATATTAATATCTGCACAGTTGCATCACTAGCAACAGCAGAACCAACTTTTGCTGTTTTAGTTTGTGAAAAAACAAGCTTTTCCCTGTATATCATTGTTACTAGATTTTGGTCCACATATTTGATAGGACCCAACTTCATCTTTCATTAATGTTCTTTTTAATATCTGCTGGAGTGATGTAATATGGCACAATTACTCTATACTCATAATTATTGAGTAATAGCGAATCATTAATATTTATGTTATTATTATGTCATGCATATGTTTATATATATGCCTACTTTATTATATTTTATATACGGAGCGTGCAGTAAATTCCTCATTAACAAAAATAACAACTGATTTTTCGATCGAAGAATGAGAGTGTTGGAATTTTTACCACAGGTTGGTACATCCCATATTTAATCTTTTCTATAATTCACATTGCGATGATTTCACAGCAAATACTACAGAGTTTGTTTTATATACTGCTGGTTGGGGACGCCGGCCCGGAAGAGCGATGTTGTCAGGAAAATTTCCTCACGATGTCGAGGGTTTCTTGCTACCCCCTAACTGTATGCAGTTCTATAGTGGAAAACAAAAATACTCTATTGTTCGTTAGATAGAATCTGAATGTTCACGTGTAATATATAGGGTTTTTAATTTTGTGGCCACAAATGTAACTTATCGTATTTGCTGTAGATGGAGGTTGGATATAAAAGTGTCGTGGGGTTGGACGCAGTAAAAGGACTGAAGACGAATCAGGAGCCTAACCTCGACCGTACAAGAGAAGAGATAGAACGGAATATAAGAACCTTAATATTAATATCGAAGCTAGGCTCACCGATGACCGATGCAGACATATCCCTCTACAATGCCCTCAAAATCAATCTACGCCACGAAAGTTCGGAAAGATTGATGCTTAGTGATCCAGAGGCAAATATGATTATTTACGACGATTCAACATTTTAGGGACGAGACAGAAGCAACTTTTTTTAGAGCCCCGTGAGAATATGAAATGCGTTTTCCCCACTTCGGTTATTTCAAGATGCGATGAATTCGTAAATAATCTTAATAATATTGAAGTGCCGGATGTGCTCATGAACATTGTACATAACAAAGAATGGAAAGAGGAGGTGTTAAATTGTTAGAACGAACAACTCAAATACCTTTTACTTCATGGCGTTGTGAGGCCTCTGATTCATCTATTACTGACTTTGAGAAATATTACAATTGTAAACAAAAGCTTACTAATGCAGGCATTAAAGCAAGCCAATACACTTCCGCCCCGAAATGCTAATCCGAGTCCCACAGTTTCTTCACATATTTCGATCCTTTGTATTTTTATATATATATCAATAAAATAGACTTGATGGCCTGCGTGAAAATCTGACTAAAAAACAATTATGTAAAAAATCATATTTGCTGGATCGCAATGTCTGGTCGCATGATAGAGTATTAACATATACGTAGTCACACCGGGAAATTAATTATATGCTTGTAGTTCATCCCGAAATAGATTTCACGCCGATTATCAACGATTCTTTTTTCTTGAGTAGGGCTCGGCTCTAGGGTTATTTGACCTTAACGGCTCGTCGAATAGTGTTGCTTTTGATTTCTCTGCCAATTAGTAATACACCGCTTTTCATTCCTATCGAGAATATTTGGGATGAAATAGAGCGTCGTATTCGTAAGCGCGCATTCCTCTACCAAAAAATGAAACTGAACTGTTCAATCTGTTGCATCTAACATAGATGAATCAGTTTATGGAAATTTGGTTGAAAGTATGGAGCGCCGTGTTCAAGCTGTAGTTAAAGCTAACAAAGTCAAATAAACTTTATTGATGTAAAAAAAACCTGACGTAAATTGCGAACTTGAAATTTTATAAAAAAATCGAGCATTGCTATATTCGGAAAAAAGTCCCATGACCCATGTCGACACCCTTATTCTCTCCTTCCCGCACAAGAAAGAAACCCCCCTGGCCCCTGTCAAGTCTATCATTGACATCTGGTCTACTTTATATGTTTTGATTCCGTATCGATTTGAAGGATTTCTTTAATTTTTTCCAATAATCATATTGAATTTTATTTTCAAATAAGCGGTGATAATAAAAACGGATGGTCATGTTTCAACGTGATCACGTCATTTCCAAATGCGAGATTTCCTTACAACGGTGGTAGGATTATTTGTTATTGCTTGACTGTTTGCGTGTAGACAATGAGTTCGACGTTGCAGTATAAATTATGTATTTTCGGTTGCTCATTCATCAGCTTTTTTAATCTGGCCATTGGCACGTAACGTTCAAACAATAGACTGCGTAATAATCCCTTTCATAGTTTCATTTGATTTAATCTGCCCACATATTGGTCCGTGCTTGGTTATTGGACTCGATTTAAACTTCACTTTATTACAGTTTGATATTACGGTACAGCATACAAACCTATTCTCATAATCCTCACTCAGCAACTACAGCTGACGCAAACACAGTCGGTGACACTGTTATGGACTTCGTCTGATTACGCAAAAAAGGAAATGGTCAGAATGGTGAGAGTATTACGCAAAGACGTTTACAAACGAACACTTACTTTATCTTCAGTCTTGTAGATCCCCACTAATCGATCAGCCAGCTCAAACATGTTATTTCGCAGACTAATAATAATAAATTGTGCATTCTTTGTGCGTTCTTTAATGTAGTTGGCCACAATTGAGACATTTCTAAAGTCTAATGCTGCATCAATCTCATCCATTACATATATGGGCGTGGGTTTGAAATGGTGAAGCGCAAAGACCAATGCCAGGGAACTCAAAGTCTTTAAATACAAATGAGTCAGTTTTTGAATATAAATTACGAACAAATGCAGCAAATTTCGGGAGTGAATTACCTTCTCACCGCCAGATAGATTTGATATATTTTTCCAACTTTTCTTTGGTGGCATAACACTAAATACAATGCCTTCGGAAAATGGATCTAGACTGTCTACCAACTCCAACTCGGCATTGCCACCAAGTGTAATCATCTACAAAAGTTAAAACAATTGTCACCCGACGAATCCCTTATTTACTATCGTCTCTAAATGGCATATAATATTACCGACCTGATACATTTCCTTTAATTTTTGCGAAATGCAAGTAAATCCTTTCATGAATTCGTCGAATCGTAAATTTCGTAGCTCTTCATATTTTTGCTTGGCGGCATCACTTCTCGCGCTTGCCTCTTCCAGATCTTTAGCTCGCATAGCGTATTCTTCTTCACGCTGACGATATTCTTCGAGAACAGACAAATTGGGATTGGCACTTTGTATTTTCTCTATTTCAATAAACCAGGAGGTCGCATATAATGTATAAGCACAAAAATGCATCAGATGAAAAACCGAAAGCACAAAGTATAAATCTACCTTCGAGTGCGTCAATGTCTTTCCGCAATTCTTCCTTATCAAAGTCCATGAGTTCGTCATCTGTAAAAGTTTGCAGTTCAATATGCTCTTCACCACTGCATAGCTCAAACGAAAGTCAATTAATTCCGTGTTCAGTCCAAAATGAATATTTTGGCGTGTGAATTACTTACGAAAGTTTATGCAGTGAGAGTTCCTTTAGCTTTGACTGCCAATGTCTCAATTGACGATTACAGTTAACTAAGCCCGATTCAAAATCTTCCAACTTGTTCTTTATCACAATCTGAAATAGTCATAATATTTGCAATGAATATTCGATCGACGGGCGCTCCCCATATAACACTCACAAGTTCATACCTCCGATGCACGAATTTCGTTTATTACGGCTGTTTTTTCGTCAAGCTCGCGTTTCATTGTTGCTAGCTCTTCTTTTTTTGCCTCCATTACCTGTATTAAAGTATTACAATTATAGTTTGTGTCAAAACCGATATCAGCAACACAATAGGCAACCTTGTAAGTACCTTCTTGGCCTCCTGAACTTCAGCTTTGATTTTAGAAGTATCTAGCGCATTTTTCTCGATAAGTCGGTCCAATTCCTCCAACTCTTTGGTTAAAGTCTCTGCCTCTTTCTCTGCTTTAGAAATCGAAATTTCAAGTTTAATGATGTCTTTTTCAGCCTTGGTCTTTGCCACTTGTGCCGTCGTGATGTTATTGTTTGCCGTATCAATCCGCTCTTTAATATTATCAATTTTAGTCTTTTGGTTCCTTAGTTTGTCACCACCGATTTCAAGAATTTTTCCTTGTAAAGTTTTAATCACGTCTTCAATCTTTGCCGATTGCTTCTTTAATTGAGTAACTTTGGTTGTATACTGTTCGATAGTTGACTGTAATTGTGCCATCCGACGACCATCTTCGACATTTGGCTTTTTCTGCTTCCTGTGCAGCACCACGTAAAAATTCCTTAGCCCACATGCCAGAACTCTTAATCTTTTCCACAATCCCTTATTCTCACCTTAATTCGGCGACGCTCTTTTGTGCATCCACAATAGCCTGTCCACACGCATCCAAATCCATATCTATTTTGGAAAGCTTCATTTCCAATTTCGGCAGCTCTTCCTTTTTTTCCTCAATCATCTTGTCCAATTCTGTCTTCTCTTCCTGCACTTCACGCCACTTCTCCTCCCATTTATTTTGCTCTTTCGTCAATTTGTCAACGACACTTTGAGTAACATCACTAACAAACTTCGAACTCATTCCGCCTCTAGATACTTTCGATCCTCCTCCTGACATAGCACCAGAAGCTTCAATCAATCTACCGTCTAGGGTAACAACGCGATATCGAGTTTTGCCGAACGCTATTCTATTCGCTTGAGTGAGATCTCTAGCAACAAGAGTGTTTCCAAGTGCCTTGTAGAATACGCTAGCAAACCGAGGATCTTTGGGCTTCACCAAGTCAAATAGACGTGGCACATTCTCTGGTGTTTGAATACGGGACATATCTTGTGATGGAATTTTCTCAAGGATATAGAAACGAGCGCGACCGAGATTCTGACGTCTAAGATATTCGATACAAGATTGGCCACATTCGACAGTGTCAACTACTATGTATTCAAGCGATGAGCACGCCGTGCTTATTGCTACATCGTATTTATCATCAATTACGCCGAGGTTGCCTAGTCGATCCTTAAGTATACATATACATGGTGAGAACGAAACAACAGACCTTTCGTATAATAGAGAAACTTGTAACATACATGAAGGCCTCGTATGCGCCCGCTGTTGCGTAGATTCAGTAAACTTGTCAGAACTGTGCCGCGTGATTGGGATGATTGGAATGTAGCTTTGGCTTCACTAGCTTTTTGTCTAGCTTCAGCGAGAGCTGATTTTGTTTTTGTGTATAATATCGCGTTTTCCTGCATAAATCAAGTAGTGAGTTTGGGTGGGTCAATGATAACGAAGTGTAAACTATGGCACATAAAATAAAATAAAATAAAATAAAATAATACCCGTATTTTTGATTCTAATACTTGGATGGTTTTTCTAATTTGCTCTCGCTCGGTCCTTAGTGCCCTTATATCTTTTTCCTATTAGGGATATAAATTATTCGCGTTCGAACATAAACTGATAAATATTACACCCTCATTAGTACCTTTGTCTTTCGGGATTCTTCAAGCTCAACAACATTTTGCTCGGCTTGTTCGAGAGCAGATTTCATGGATACATGCTTGTTCTTGATAATATCATATTCGGATTGAGCGACATCTATCTGAGATTGTATGCTGTTGATTTGTTCAACCCACGGGGCAAGATTTTTTTGTTGCTGTTCTATCTGCGAAGAATAAACTTCCGTTTTGCCTTTGCAAGAAAAACAGATTGCCCAGATTAGTTTGGTGTTGATTCAATTTTCACGTGATATAACGGATACCTTTCAAACTTTCTGTAACTTTTTCTAGTTCAGTTTCTTCAGCTTTAAGCGACTTTTCAAGTCGAGAGATCTCTTTCTTCTGTTGTATGAGGTCTTTTTCGTAATCGTGTATCGAGCTTTGCTTTGTCTCCAAAGTTTTACGATCCTGCAGGGTC